GCAGAGATTAAGAAAGGATTGGGGTGAGTTCGCTGTGGAGAGCCCATCAACTTCCTGATGAATAAATAAATACATCTTTCTAATTTATTTAACAGGTCACTTACAACATACAACATTATTGCACATATTATTGATAGTAGATCTCAAGCTGATTTGCTATAAGCCTTTACAGTATCACAGAAGTTCTGTCCAATATAGTAAAGCAACACTGCTTCAAGAAAAGCACGAGGCTGGTAGAAGAATCACAAAATTGCTAGAATCCTAACTAATCTTGAAAGACATATGCAATTAAATAAAAGAAGAAAGGAGACTAAGCCTAAACTGGCTGTTCAGCTGGATCAGAGGTCATCCTCCCTGGTATCCTCCACAATCTCTAAATGTCAGAAGTCACACACCTCCTCCACAGCATGACTACCAAGCTCCAAATGCTTAGTTTACAGAGGTTCCAATTCTAGGAATACTTGTGATTCAGCAACAGATTCTCTTACAAACTTGCAAATAAGATATAGAAACTGTAGGAAAAATAAGAGTTCAGTCATCAATAGGAACTGAGCAAAGACATACCCTTCCAGCAGATCAGTGTTTTGCAAGTCTCAAATTGGACAGAATAGAAATCTATTCCTATATGTTTGAGGCTATCTGAACTGCCTCCTGCTACACAGTGTGCTTTTACAAATATACCTAGGCTATACTATCTGCCTTTCCTCTTCAAAAATCTTCTGATCCATTTCCAGCAACTATACCTGCAACATCATATTTATAGAGGATGCCACAGAATAAACCACTGATACAACATAAGCTAGTTTTTATGGTTCCTGGTCTGAAAACCAAGCAAGCTGTCGATTTAAAGGCAGTAACAGGGAATTGCCCACATTAGTCTCAGAATAAAAGCACAAAGATAGCAACCATTAACATTCAAAGAATATGCACAGAAACTGCTGTGCAGTGAAGCAGTTGCAGTGTAGTGACAATGTCACTGAGTTAATAATCCAGGAATACTGGTTAATGCTCTAGGGGCATGGGTTCAAATCCCACCATGGTACATTGCACAGGTACATTGCACAATTTAAATTCACTTAATAACTTCATAATTAATGACAACCACAAACCGATTGTTAAAAAAAATCTGGTTCACTAAAACCCCTTGATCAGCTGTAATCTAGGATAATGAAGGAGCCTACTCCTTTTTAATGAAAAGGCTTATTTAATGCAGAAATTAGGCAAGTGTGTAGCAAAGCCAGAGAAGTGGCGTTAACTTTAAAACAGAGGCAGACAAGCACCTGTTAAAAAGGTAGGGAATTTCCGAAGTATAAAACCAAAAGAAGTGTGGATGCTGTAAATCAAACAAAAACAGAAATAGCTGTAAAAGCTCAGCAGGTCTAGCAGCATCTGTAGGGAGAAATCACAGTTAACGTTTTGCGTCCATTTCTGACAAAGGGTCACTTGATGCGAAACATTAATTGTGATTGCTCTCCAGAGATGTTGCTCGACCTGCTGAGCTTTTAGAGCAATTCTGTTCTAATTTCTGGAGCCTGCCCAGGGTAGTTTCTGACAGCAATATGTCGTGGAAAAAACAACGGAACAACTAACATTGATCAATATAGAGATAATGAGCTGGATTTAATTAGTACATGAACAATTATCAAATAGCAATCACACGATTGCGTTCAATCTAGAGTTTTACATTTAAGTAAAGCCAAGTTTAACAAAAAGAGACAGACATTGTCCGCAGTGACTTGGGAAAATTTGCTCATGGGTAAAACAGCTGAACAATAGAGGATGTTTAAAGAAACATTTAACAGAAAACAAAATCCGTTTATACCCAGGAGAGAAAAGCTCCATTTCATAGATAAAGCAGCCACAGGCAATTAAAGAGATAAGGGATGGTAGAAAACTACAAGAAAGGGCTTACAAAAATGCAGACAGCAGCACAGATCCTGCTTAATGGGAAAGATAAAAAGGCTAACAAATAGGCTGATTGGTGGCCATAACAGCTACTAAAAGGGACTATAAAAAGGACAAAAAAAATCAATAAGAAATTTCATAGTTGCATAAAGGAAAAGCAGGTGGTCAGGAGTAACGTTGGTTCACTAAGGACTGAAAATGAGGATATTGTCAATGGTTACAGGGAAGTGGTAGACATGTTGAATAAGTACCTTGCCTCAGTATTTACTGTAGGAGGTTAGCTTGCCAGAAATCCCAAGGAAATTAACAGTGCATTGGAAAAGGTACTAAATAAAATTAAGTAAAGTATCAATAATGAGGAAATTAATAGAATTAAAGAGTGACAAATCCCGAGGACCTGATGGTTTTCATCCAAGGCTGTTAAAGGAAGAGGAACACATTGTAGACCTCCTAACTATAATCTTTCAGAGCTCCCTCAATACAAGCATTGTCCCTCTGAACTGGAAAACTCCATATCACTCCACTTCTTAATAAGTGTGAAAGGGCAAAACCAGAGAATTACAGGCCAGTTAGCCTAAAATGTGTGGTTGGGAAATTGCTAGAGTCCATAATCAAGAAAGGGGTAACTGAATACCTTGAAAATTCAGTTAATTGTGGACAGCCAGCATGAATTTGAGACAGGTAGGTCACACCTGATGAACCTCCATGTATTTTTTGAAGAGGTGATGAAGGTCTATGGACCTTTATCAGAGGGATGTTTATGGATGTTGTTTACATGGACTCGCAAAAGACATTTGATAAAGTCCCACATAAGAGACTATTAACTAAGGTAGAAGCCCATGGAATTGAAGGCAAATTACTGATATGGCTGTGAAATTGGTTGAACAGCAGATGACATAATAGGGATAATGAGTAATACTCAAATTGGTAGGATGTGACCAGTGATGGCCCACAAGGATCTGTGTTAGGGTCTCAATTATTCACATTATTTATTGACCACTTAGATAATCGTAAAGTTAGGCGTCATTATAAACAGAACATATGATAGCATAAAATTACAAAAGGATATTGATAGACTGCTTGAATAGGTAAAACAATAGCAGATGGATTTCAATATAAGTGTGAGGTTATCCATTTTGGATCAATAAAGGATAGATCAGTGTACTTTCTCGATGGTATGAAATTAAATATAGTAGATGTTAAAAAGTCTTGAGGATGCACTTTGTACAAACAGGAACAGAAAATAATCAGAAAGGCTAATGGAGAGCTGACCTTTATATCTAGAGGACTGGAGTACAAGGATGCAGAAGTTATACTCCAGTTACACAGAACTCTGGTTAGACCCTACTTGAAATACTGTGAGCAGATATGGGCACCACACTGTAGGTAAGATACATTGGCTGATTGTTAGAGGCACTGCTGTGAAAATGCAGTAGTTAGGTGTTGATTGACTGTTACCTGACAAGCAGATCAACTTTGATTTCTAAAAGCAGTTTTGACCAATGAACGAGAGATTAGATGCCAATTTTGTGGAGTTCAAACAGATGCTGTTGATATACCTTTCTTTTTGTCGGAAAAGAACAGGATCTTGTGTCTCAATATGTAGCTTTCTGCACCCAACCGATTCAATTGTCAGTACATTTCTTGGCACACTTTGGACAGTATTTGCTAATCATATCACTGAATAAAATCTAATGTCGGACACGGTTTGCAAGCACAACTGATTGGATATGGTTAGTACCACACTTGCAGCAAACAGCTGAAATGATTTGCTGCTTCGTATGATCTGCCAGACTTTGTGCCCAGTAGGGAAGGTATTTAAACTGTTTTAAGATTCTAATCAGCAGTTTATCTTGGAACTAACCAGTCCAATGGCAGGATACGAAGTAAGTTTCATTTGTAGCTCAGATACTAATGGCTGATTTATAGCTCACTATTAGTACTAGTTAAGCATTAATCCAGATAGTGTGTCACATCTTGTAAGTTATGCTGCCAAGAGGTTGGACAATAGAATGTTATCTCCACGCTCATCAAGTCTAACAGAATACTTCCAACTCCAACGCATGAAATAGCTCCCTTGTAATCAGTTCTCTTTTTCAGCCTGGTGCTTGAATTATATCAAATCAAATTCAAGGATAAGTTTTGAATTACATACTCAGGTGGTCAAGATCCTTTTATGCAATTTTGATAGTTGCTTCCAGCCTGGAGTATCCCACAGCAAGTTGGACATAGAAAGTGACTACCAAATGTAGAGTGCCGAGGATAAAGGGTTCTGGCCTTTATGATGCTGTTGGCATCACTGCATTGAAAGCCAAATATCCAGCCAACTGAGCTAACTGTCCAAAGTGTCAGAGAAAAAGCAGGTTGCTATCTATCACACTCAAACTTGGAGAATTTAGGGTAATTTGAATTGAGAGAGAAGGAGCAACAAAAATTGAAGATTTAGCATAAGAGTCAACAGTTAACATGCAAAAGCTAATCATCTGTCTCAGATTCTAACAGAGCCTAATACTCGATTATCAAAAGGGTCTTTTAACAAAAAGTCTGAAGGCTGACAGATGGCTGGAATAATACTGCAGAGCACTCGAACACAGAATTAGATTCGTAAAGAACCTCTCGTGGCCTATTCAAAACATATCTTCACATCAAACTTGAGAATCTTACAGCCACTGTAATAATAAATGGTCAATCTTAAAATAAACTTCAAGACATTAACAAAGCTGATTTGAAAGCTTAGTGCTCGACTTGTAATAGCTACAATGCTTTGAGAAATGGTGGTTACAGGTATTTCTATCATAATGCACGTTTCGTTAACACGAATTAGCTGTAATGTGATTGATGAATAGTGGACACTGTTTGGATAACACAAACTTTCTGCTTTACAGGTATAGCGATTTTCCGTAGTGATTTCCTTCTAACAGAATTTTCTGTGGTGTGAAGTTACACAAGAACGCAACTATCGCATTATAAAGAGAACGATCTGTATTTAAAAAATACAGCACTTCAAAAGTGAAACTGAAAATTCTTCGAGGTTTCAGGGGTACCGCTGCCATTTCACATTAAAGTTTGAAATACATTTGAACTTTGTCAATATTCTTTAATAATGTACAATTTTGACAATTTAAACTTAGGGACTAACTACAAACTAACACAACAAACTACAAACTAATTCCAAACATCATGCAAAATTCAAGTTGCACAGAAGTAGAAAACAAGGTTAAAAATTATAAAGTTCAATATAAAAAAGTCTTTGTAAACAGTAAAGCAAATTATCAGTGTATAATATCATAATACATTCTGAAAATATAACAGACTTATTTAACACAAGAAATTTTTACCCAGTAACTTATTTCTTCGTTCAGAGTGGCTAGTGGCACATTGTTCAATGCTTAGTGTACAAAACTTGTTGAGACATATACACTGAAATCAAGCACCATGTACAATTCAACTGAGGTACTAAGGTCAATCAATATTGCAGCTTTTGACCAAATCTAATATCAAACTAATACTCCAAGTGGATCTGCATACAATTTAAACCAAATAGACAACCTCTCAATGAAGCATCCGGTCATAATAAAGTGGGAAGAGACAAATTAACAATTCAAACTTTTTGCACAAAGCCTTGGTAGGAAATTTCAATCTCCATGCCATTAGTAAGATGAGAGGGAACAGTCACATAAAACAAACAAAAAAAAAGCACTATTGTACTTCATACAAATAAATGGTTTATCTTTCTTTTAAAAAAATAAAGGCTCAATATTAAGAAGTTGCCAGGAAAGGAAGAATCTTCATTTTACAATTATTTAGATTTGGTTCGTGTTTTCACCTTGGTTTTGCAGATCTTTCCAGAAACAGGTACTAGATTAACAAGTACAGCACGTTCTCCCGATGAGGAGTAGGTTTTATCCCTGATCATAACATGGCAGTTGTAGTTGGGTAGAAGTTTGGCATCTGTCAAAAGACGAAACAGATGGTTAGCGCCCATGGAAGTAAAGTGCATCAGATTATCCAAAAAATTATTTTTCACAACCTATTCTTTCCTTCAAACGTTGATTCAAGTGGTTGCACAGATGTCAACTTGTCTTTGACAGCGTGCTCATATAACCGAAAGAAACCAAAAGAACAGTGGATGTTGTAAATCAGAAACAAAAACAGAAGTTGCTGGAAAAGCTCAGCAGCTCTGGCAGCATCTGTGGAGTGATATCAGAGTTAATGTTTTGACTCCTGACCCCATCAACCTTGTGAACTACGATCCCATTTGCAGTCTCTTTCCTCATAAGTCTGCATATCACCTCTCAATGTTTTACAAAACAGTATGTCTGAATATTTCCAGTGATCGCCCTTGCAAATATACCAAAAGTGTTCAAAATCAAAAATTAAAATCTTATTTGATTGTGTCAAAAGGTAAACTTTGCCTCTGCATCTTACTTGATTTGGCACAGCTGAACACCCTCCTCTCCCACCCTGCAGTCCTGCAAGCTGTACGAGGTTACACACATTGCATACAGTTCATTGATGCCGTCGATAGGCAATGAACTTTCACACATACAGGAATGATACCCTGCTCCACCTCAACTGACCATAAGTAGTAACAATAGACTGTTCAGTCCCTTGAGCTTGCTCCACCACTGTATTGGACAGTGGCTGATCTGACATTCCTCACATCCACTTTCCTGCATTCTCCCTGTAATCTTTGATGCCTAGACTCATCTCAGGTTTAAATATAACTAAGGATTCTGCCCCCACAGATCTCTGTGGCAAGGAGTTCCAAAGACACAATGCACAGAGAAGAAATTCCTCCTCATCTCAGACTTAAATTGGCACTCTTTTATTCTGAGACTACATCTCCTGTTCCTAGACTCTCCCATGAGGGTAACATCCTCTTAACATTTACCCTGTCAATCTCCTAAAAAATCTTGTATGTTTCAATGAGATCACTACTTATTGAGGTTTAGAAGATTGAGAAGACTCCCTACTTGTTTAACTTTTGCACATAAAACAATCCCTCCATATCAGGGATCATCCCAGTGATCCTTCCCTGAACTGCCTCCAATAAAATGGAGTCTTTCCTTAAATAAGCGGACTAAAACCGCTGAGTACACCAGATATGATCTCACCAGCACCTTGTACAGTCGTAGTAAGACTTCCCCACTCATATTCCAACCTCCTTGAAATAAGGGACAACAGCCTACGCGCTAGTTTACTGCATTCTGTGCACGAAGTTCCAAGTCCCTTTGTATTGCAGCTTTCTGCAGTTGTTTTTTCTCCATATAATACTCTCCTCTCTTGCTCTTCCTTTTAAAACAAACAACTTCACAGTTTCCCACCATTTCAGACATTCTCAGACCGTTTATCTGACAGCCAGTAACGGGAAGAGCAGAAATTTCTCCTAAATATTGAGGTGATAGAAGCCCTCACCTTCAAACTCCATTTCCTAGTTATCGACTCTATCCCTCCCTCTGACCACCGACTGAGGTTAAACCACACAGCAAAAACCACAATGTCTGATTTGACCCCAAGCTGAGTTTCCAATCTTGTATCCAAACCATCACCAAACCACCTATTTCTATCTCCAGAATTACTTCAGCTCGACGGATGCTGAAACCCCCATTCATGCCTTTATTACTACTTCTAGACCACTATTTGAAATGCACTCAGACTCCTTTACTACACTATTCATAAACTGGAGGCCATCCACAGCCCTGCTACCCTTGTCCTTATTCACATTATGTTCCACTCATGCAATCACCCTTTGATTGGTCACTCATGTTGGTTTCCAATCGAGCATTGCCTCCATTATAAATTTCTCCAATTATCATCAAATCTTTTAGCAGTCACACCTACCTCAATTTCTTTAATCACCAGTAGCCCCACAAGCCTTACCTGAATCTGGTGACAGTACCCCAGGTATTAAACACTCCCTTATTAGTGACCATGTCCTCAACTGCCAAGGGTGTAACCCCTCCCAAAACCCTGACTCTAATCCCACTTCTTTCCTTCAAGATCCTCCTTAAATTCTAACTTTCTAAACAAAGTTTTTAACCATTTGTCCTAATATTGCCCAATGCGCCTTGGTGCCTAATTTTGCTTTATGATATCTGGTGAAACACCTTAGAGGAATTTATTACAAGAGACAAATATAAACTCTTTTCGGACAAAGATCAGAGGTATCGGCACATATTTAACAAACCATTTGAAATTGACTGGTAAGTCACTGCCTCTAAACTGGCGCATAAAGTCAAGGCCATCTGGGCTTGATATTACAGTACAGACAGTAACAGTGCCTTTTACATTAGCTCAGCATCAGTTATGTCACTGTGAAGAGATGACAATCCAAATCTGTTATTTTTGCAGTTGTACAACTCAAAATTTGTTCTGAAAACCTCAGAAATCTGCTCATGATCAACAGTTCCACCTAACTGATTTTTAGACCTTTGTTTTGGTGTGGATGTCGACAAAAGTATGTAAAGCATGGAACTGAGGTGTGTGTACTAAATTCTGTGGTTTCCCACTTCACTACACATCGATGAAGATTAGCCAGAGACCCCAACAGATTTCAGCTAATGCACAACTTTCATGACATCTTTCTGTAAAGAAAAAGGCTACTACAGAGTAAAGTTAATGGTACGTGACATGTTTTAATATCAGATTATTTTCTGAATTAACCTACTAATCTTAGAGGTATTTGTTTCTCACTTCTGTAGCCTGGATCACCTGGGATGGAGCGTTTTGAGTTACGAAGAGAAATTGGACAGACTGGGGCTGTTTTCACAGCAGAGGGGACTAAGAGGGGACGTGATGGAGATGTACAAGTGTATGAAAGGTATAGATAGGGTAGACAGAAAAGAACTTATCCCCTTAATGGAGGGATCAACGATCAGGGGCATAGGTTTAAGCCAAGGACAGAAGGTGAGAGAATATATGAGCGAAAAAAACATTTCACAGAGGGTATTAGGAATCTGGAACTCACAGCCTGGAAGGGTGATAGTACATTAAAGTAGTACTTAGATATACACTTAAGATGGAAGGCATACAAGGCAATGGGCCTAGTGCTGGAAAATGAGATTAGAATATTTAAGTTAACAAGGTGTAGAGCTGGATGAACACAGCAGGCCAAGCAGCATCAGAGGAGCAGGAAAGCTGACGTTTCGGGTCTGGACCCTTCTTCAGAAAAAAAAAAATATTTAAGTGGTTGTTTTTGACCAGCGCAGACACAATGGGCCAAAGGGCCCTTTTCAGTGCTGTTGATCTCTATGACTATTACATGACCATCGAATGTGGTACTTACCAGCAGCTGGAGATCCAAGGTGACAGTGATCCACTGCTTACCCTTTATCACTGCATTCCAATTGAACACCAGGCCTTAGGTCTATTTATCATTGGGTAGCAACGAGGCTGTCACAGAATTGCTAAATTATTTTCTGACCATTCGTTTAAAAAAAGATGAAGAACATTCTGTGCTGTAAGGTGCACAAGGGAGAAAAACATGCTGGAAAATGCTTTGGAAGTCATTTTGAAGCTGAAGGTGAACAAGATTATAGTTTCTCTCAATTTGCACTTAAGGTTTTAGTGGAGATTGCACATACCTTCATTATTACCATTCAAAATTCACTTTAATCAGGTGGTTTTTTTTCCCCAAAAAGGAGCAAGAGGCAAAGTGTTTTTTTGTTATTAGCATGCAAGGCTTATCTCATTTAGGGAAAAATGAGAAAACTCTGAAGCATCATAGAACTGTTACACAGTGTAGAGGCGGCCTTTTGGCCTATCTGGTCTGCACCAACTGAGCATTCGACTTTGTCAATGTCCTGTCTTTTTAGCATAATCCCGCACACTGACTCTATCCTACTGGATTCTAAGCATCCAATGCCCTTGATTGCCTCAATTGAATCTGCCTCCATGACACTTCCAGGCATTCTATTCCAGACTCAAATACTCGCGTGGAAGTTTTTCCTCCTGTAGCATTTGCTTCTTTTGCACAACACTTGAAAACTGTGCCCTTTTTCTCAAACATTTTACAACTGCGAATCATTTCCCCAATCTACTGTCTACAATATTCTACATAAAATTTACAAGCATGTAATGCAGATCTGAGCTAAAAAAACCTGAGTTCAATCAGAAATTGAAGTCTTCAAATAATAAATTAGGAAAGTCAGAAAAATCAGAGAAGGCAGCTCAAAAAATGAAAGGTTCAGACAAACTATGTAAGCAAAGAACAGACAAAATTTAACATGCACACAAGGAAATTGCTTACTCTGTAATGTTGAAATTGAGAAGAATAAAGTATCAAGGAAACCTAGATAGCTTGGGTAAATTTCAGCAAAGGATTGTATAAGTATCTAAAGAGAAGTTACGTGGCTATATCCAAGCTGTTCTGACAGAGACCCAGCATAGATCAGAGCAGCTCATTGGCCTCCCTCTGTGCTGTAAATATTCTAACATTCTGTATGTCGAAAGTAATAGAACACAAGTTCAAAGAATTCACGGTTAAACTGTATAGTTCTCCAGTGTCAGACCACATCTGAAATATTACATCGGCTGGTCACCAAGCAACAAGGGAGAAGTTCAAACCCAGGAGAGTGCAAAGAGCAACAGGGCTGATTCTGGAGATCAAAAAGGTGTGGATTGAAGACCAGCTTATTTACAGAACATTTGAAAACATCTTTCCATACTGCATTATTCTTGGAAATTGCCAGAAACGTCCCTCCCCTTCCCCTTTTGGTTAAAAGCCCGGAGGACTGAGGGAAGTAAGTAATTCCTAAGGGACAAATGAAACGTGACAACTGTCTATTGACTTCCAAGTCCAGTGTTCAGTTCTGAAGAGGATAGTTTCCATCTCTCTCTCTCTCTCGCTCCCCTCCACTCCGGCGATTTGTTTTGACTTTTCAATTTTCCTTTCTTTCCCATACTGCTGCTCCAGCTCCTCCAATCACAGATCCTATCATCTGAGGGTG